AAATTGTAAAAGAGGCCAACTATGGTCAACAAGATAATTGATTGGTAATAATTCAGTACAATGAGAAGTAATCATACTTATCCACGCCTCAATGCACACAAGGTGGTGTACAGTTACTCAAACAATGGAAATTCATCTTTTGCTTATAAGTATTCAAATGCTGCAATGTTAGAACTATCTTTGATTTAGGTTGTTGTTTTGATAGCCCATAGTATATATATGAATAGTCAAATACTTGCGACTTTTTGTCTATTTCTTACAAAATACATTTTTCTGAAAAACTGCACATAAATAGCTTTATCAAGCTATTTTGAATAGCTTAATAAAGCTATATAGCTTTTTCAAGCTATATAGCTAATTCAAGAGATTGTGCTGGACCTGCTCATATCCATGTATGTTTTGAAATGCTTATTGAATAATTAGGAAAACTATCGTGTAGATGCCTCAACGTTAGGAGGAATGGTACACCTCAATATGGATGAAAAAATAAATTTAAAAAACTTGTTCAAATTTCACCCCAAAAATGTATTTTAAGAATTTCATCAAGGTAAAAAAAAAAGAAAAGAAGAATTCCATGTACATGATGTATATATTAATAGTTTAAATGATGACTTACATCTCAGAACCTGACTCCTAATCCCAAATGAGCAGCGAACTACACTTTTAGAAGCGCATGTGAGTTAAGGCTAGGTATAGGCGTTTCTATGCAAATGAATTAATAAAAACGCGTGAGAGGTATATTTATTATTTAAAGAATGTTTTGATTTATTTTCTTATGCATACTTATTACCCACGATATGTTATACCCAGTATACATTATGACGTCATATTATGACGTCACTGATCTTACCTACTGGAGGTATTAAAACACACCAACAAAACAGCTTGGGCGCAAGGGATTACCCTATTTATTTTTACATAAAAATTGTATAATGCTAATAAGAATATTCTATAGATTATTAAAACTGCTGCACAAATGCTAGGCATTTTCTCATTTGATCGGAATTTGAGGAAACTTATACCGGACTGAACATTTTTACCCTTATTCAACTTAAAACTTTACAAATAGAAATTATACAACTGAGCTGTTGATATTTGTGCAGCAATACCAGCAAAGGTAGGAATATTTTTCTTCTAAATATACCTTGTTTCAGTTAGATAAAATAGAGCATGCCCTTGCGCCGAAGCATTTTTGTCGATATCCATTATAATCTTGTGTAGTAAAGAACAATGACGTCACAATATGACGTCATAATGTGAACTGGCTATTTCATGTCGTGGGTACCAAGTATGTATTAGACAATAAGTTTTAGCTTTCTTTGTACAATAGATATAGTCCTTTGGGATTTTAATTAGTTTATTTGTATGGAAATGCCTATACCTAGCCTTAACTCACCTGCGAGGGTGTTTGTGTCACCATTCCACTAATAAACCACTGGTTAAACCAGTGCTAACACACATCATAACAAATTTTTCAATCGTGATTTTAAAACTGGAAGTAACTACAGGTCGCTAATTTTAAAGGAAATCGTATTTCCGGAAAACACATATGCAAAGTGAAAAATAAAATTATAAAAGTACATGTTGATTAATAATTGACAAATGAATTTAATTTAGTAATTTTTTTTTATCCTTTATCTTTGTACTTTTTAATATTTTAATCTAAAAGGATATACTCATAACATTGAAAACAAGGGGGGGGGGGGGGGTTACCCTACATTAGGCAAAAAGAAATGGCGCCTGAAATTTTATGCGCAAACTTTTTTATAACATCTGGGTCAGTGTAGAGTATAATTTGAATATAGGGCCTCAATGCTATTCCAGTTGGAATTAATTATCGGAAGTAATGGTGGAGAGTGGTGTGTACATATTTTGGCTGTACGAATTCAAAAAAAGAGAGAAAAGAAAAAAACCGCTAAAAATTTTAACTTACCATTGTTTTTCACAGTTACATGTATTCCTGTACAGTGTTTAGAGGTCCTTCTTTGTCCATTCAGCATGTTCACCGAGCATAATTTGCTTCACTTCAAAGCTTAGTAGAATAACACCAAAAGTTGTATTTTATCACTCTTTTTTCCAAAAACACATAACAAATCATCTTCAGAATAATAATTTACATGCATACATCTTGCCTGAGTTCCTTTTTAAACTGAATAAGATATAAAGATTCATCAATCAAATTGACCAACAGTCATCACTTTCAAAATCTGCATTCAAACTGACCAATGCATCCAAAGAGAGGCTCTGCCTGAAAACTTCCGCCCCCTGTAGAGGGTGGTCATGCAGGAGCGCATTAGAAACGTATATCTGATATACAATATGGCTGCAAAAAAATAACTCCTCTAGGAAACGCAATCTTCAATCTAATAAAAAGCCTAATATTCAAAGTCTAATAACTGGATTAAAAGCCATGTTTGACTATTTTTTTTCGAATATCTCCCCCATTAGTGCCTTTAGAAAACAAGGTCATCTAGAGGAATGAAACATGTGGTCATAATTTAAACTGTTCATAATTTAAAGACTAATGCAGAATCCGTCTAAGAGCTAAGCCGGAAAACGTCTAACAAAAATACGCCTCAGATTTAAGGTGGAATCCACCTAAGATATGAGGCGGAAAACGGTTAAAGCTAAGACGTTTTCCATGTCCGCCTTTAGTACGGCTTAGTCCACCTAGCACTTGACCGGAATCCGTCTCAGTCCGCCCGGACTCTAGGCGGAAAACGGTTAAGAGTTTCGTACGGGGCCATTTTCAATGTACCTCACCATTTGGTTATAGACAGCTTATTAAAGGCATGTAATTTTTTTTAATTTATTATTATCAGTCAGTGACCCCTTCACAAGATTAAAATCAAACGATTCTAACAAATCCTATTCTATTCTATTCTGTAACGTTTTAAATCGGGTACGTGTATGTAAAGTGGTGCGAAAAGAAATTAATTAAACCTAACGAAACATTCGCGAAACAAACCCGAATCAAATGAAATGATATAAGACCACATGTATGAACAGTTTGCATGTTTTAGATATTCGTGGCTATTTAGCACTAGTTTATATGTACATGTAGCCGATAAATCTTGGAAACAGCACTAGATCTAGATTGTTGTTGATTTGTTTGTTAGTTTATTTGTTTTTATATAATCCCATATCTGCTAATTTGCCGAAACTTCAACACAATTATACAGTATTTCTAGGGCTGTAAATAACCTGTTTAATGACAAATGCACATCACATAGCCTAATGACAAATGCACATCACGAATTTCATTTTGTATAAATAAGACAGTCCAGGCGTTCCATACTATTTGATTAGAGACCGTCATTGATTAGGCTTGGCATGCTTACTGCATGAAAACAGGTAATGTCTAGTACTTCTTTGTTCTTAATTCTTTGATATCAGTATTAATTTCAATTAATGGAAGTAAAGGAGATCGCCAAGAGATTCCTGACTATATCCGTAACCATGATAACCTCCACTTATTGCGCACATTTCACAGACACAATATACTGTGATATAATTTAAGTGCCTAAAGTGATGGTTAGAATCAGATGAATCTCTTATGCTTTTTTAGCTCACCTCGAAGAAGTCGAGTTGGAGCAGGTCCATTCCCAAGTAACTATAAGCCCTACCTGGACCAAACTTGCATGGATGATGCATCTAGGGATGGACACTACCACACTCGATTCGGATGCTGGATCTGACCTAGATTTTCCAGAGGAGTGACCAGGTTAAAGTTTTTGGATCAGGTCAATTCCCAAATAACTATAAGCCCTACCTTGACCAAACTTACATGGATGATGCATCTAGGGATGGACACTACCACACTTGATTCGAATGCTGGATCTGACCTAGATTTTCCAGAGGAGTGACCAGGTTAAAGTTTTAGGAGCAGGTCAATTCCCAAGTAACTATAAGCCCTACCTGGACCAAACTTGCATGGATGATGCATTTAGGGATGGACACTACCACACCTGCTTCGGATGCTGGATCTGACCTAGATTTTCCAGATGAGTGACCAGGTTAAAGTTTTTGGAGCAGGTCCATTCCCAAATAACTATAAGCCCTACCTGGACCAGACTTGCATGGATGATGCATCTAGGAATGGACATTACCACACTTGATTCAGATGCTGGATCTGATTTAGATTTTCCACATGTGAGACCAGATTTAGATTTTGGAGCAGTCTCATTCCCAAGTAACTATAAGCCCTACCTGGACCAAACTTTCATGGATTATGCATCTAGGGATGCATACTTACCAACCTGCTTTGGATGCTGGATCAGACCTAGATTTTCTACATGAGTGAATTTTAGCAATATTTTAACTAAATTAGCATGGATGATGTATCTAGGGATGAACACTTCCAGACTTTCTTTGGATTCTGAATGTGACTTACATTTTCCAGATGAGTGACCAGGGTAATTTTTTTTGGAGTAGCTATATAATATTATGGCCTGTTATGATTAAACTTGCATAGATGGTGCATTTAAGGATGAAACTTCCAGACTTGCTTGATGTTGGAACTGACCAAAATTTTCTTGATTAGTAAAAAGTTTTTTGAGCAGGTCTATTTCCAAGTAACTATAAGTCCTACTTAAACCAAACTTGCATGGATTGGATATTGATCTTGGGATGTACCCTAACTAGAAAAAAAATATGATGTGAAATTTGCCTTACTTATAGATAACATTCGTCGAGGTGAGCTTCGTAATCTTTGATTACCTATGTTTTTCATTAACAAAGACATTTAAAAAAATATGAGCAAGGATACTTATATATATGGTAAATTGAACGTCCTTTTTAAAACATTGATGTTTATTTGAAGATTGAGTCATGGACCCCAGCACCAGTGCCCAGGACGTGACGCGATGTGACCTGTGTGAGACCGCTGTGGTACAGATGCACTGTGATACGTGTCTTGTCAACCTGTGCATAGGTTGTGTTGGAAAACACTTTTCTGCTGATCTCTCAAAACTTCATAAAATTGTTGATTTTAAGGACAGAAAGTCTACTCTTATTTGTCCCAGATGCACCTCTCATGGTGAAGAAACGTGTGAGATGTACTGTACTCAGTGTGGCATCCCTGTCTGTAGTATTTGTCTTGCATCAGATCAACATCTCGGACATAAATTAGTAAGGATGCAGGAAATCCGAGACGAGAAAAGGGATAAACTCATCAAAAAACAAACTGAACTCAAAGAGACAATTTATCCAACCTACCAGGACATCGTCTATGATGTACAAAGCAAAATGAGTCAGTTAGAAAAGGAATATGGAGATCTCTCAACAGCCATAACAAAACATGGAGAGGACTGGCACAGAGAAATTGACAAACTTGTCAAGAAACTTAAAGCTGAAGTTGATGAGATGAAAAACACACAGTTACAAACTCTACAAAAACATCTGGCTGAAATAAAAACAAAAATCTGTGATATCAAGGATGAAATCAAATCAATTGATAGTGTTCTAGATTCTACACACATTTCAAGCCTATTCAGTGTGCCTTCCACACTACATGAGTACAGAAAGCTTCCGAGAAAAATTATAGTTTCCTTTCCTAAATTTACCCTGAAGAAATTACAGGCAGACCAACTGTTTAGTCTGAAAACAATTCCGTTAAAATCAGATGAACATGGCTACAGCATGAAGACAACACAGAAATCACTAAAAGCTGGATCCTCTCCTCTAGTCAAACAGCTGCTTGATGAACCAGAGACTGTCAACACCATAGACACTAGGTATAGCAGTTACCTTTACAATGTGGCCTGTCTGAGTGATGAAGAAATCTGGACAAGTGGAGAGGACAGAACCATGAAACTCTTCAGCATCAATCAGGGATCACTACTCAAGTCAATCAAAACCACGTCAGTGTACATACCAACTGGCATAGCAGTGACGAAAAGTGGAAATCTAGTTTATACTAATTACAGTGATAGAACTGTGAACTTTGTGAAGAATGAGAAGATAGAGGAGGTGATCAGACTACAGAACTGGAGACCTCTAGGTGTCTGTAGTACCTCCTCTGGTGACCTCCTGGTTATCATGTTCAGTGATGATTACAAACCAACAAAAGTTGTCTGTTACTCTGGCTCCACAGAGAAACAAACCATTCAGTTTGATGATAAAGGTAAACCTCTCTATTCATCTGGTAAATATAACAGATACATCACTGAGAACAGGAACCTGGATATCTGTGTGTCTGACTTGGGAACTAAAGCAGTAGTGGTGGTCAATCAGGCTGGGAAACTGAGATTCAGGTACACTGGACATACTCCTGCTCCAAAGAACAAACCATTCAATCCACTAGGAATCACCACAGACAGTCAGAGTCACATCCTTACAGCTGATTATCACAATGACTGTGTCCACATCATAGACCAGGATGGACAGTTCCTCCATTACATAGACAGTGGACTGAGTGGACCCCATGGACTGTGTACAGATACAAATGACAATCTATTTGTTGCTCAACAAGGAAAAAGACAAGTGAAGAAAATCAAGTATTGCAAGTGATGTTGTCTAGCACTGTAATATTCAACACAGGCCACAGAACAGAATATTTATTTTTTTTCTAGTTCAGAGACAAAAGCAGACAAATTTATATGAAATGATTACAATAATCAGAAAAAATACATGAATAGAATAACAATATATGTTTATTACATTGATGTTTAAACCAGTGTATGAGTGAAATATATTTTTAGATAAATATTTTACAGTGTGAAAATATGTATTTATGTACTTTCACATATTATCTTAAACAAATTACCCACAAAATCACTACCAAGTAACTATAAAGATTTTTGTTCATTGTCTAAAGCTGAAATTTTTAAACAATTAGTTTTATATTTATTTAGTTGAAATATTTCTTTCCTTTTGTCATCATACTTTTCACATCATCAAAAATGGCTTTCATTTTCTTCAATGTTCATCCAACTTTTTAATTTTTTTTTTTTTTAATTTTTTTTTAATAAATAAACATTGCCATTCATATGATGAGAATCAGCAACATGATTACCATGATTACCCTAATGTCTAACTTACATGTATAAGGTATGTTATTGTATATTCAATGATTTATCTTAGAGTCAAATTACCGATATATGTCTGAAATCTTATCAATTGTTTAAAAAGTAAAAAAAAAATCATTATGTTACATATACAGTATTTCAATAAACAAATTAATTTCTTTAAAAAAATAATATGTTCTTTTACATAATATTTAGATGAATATACATGTACAGTGTACCTACTTATATATAGGAAATTCAGTAAAATTCGAGGATTTACTTTTTACATCCGTGATCCAATGCAGAGGGATGCTTCAGGAGGATCAGGTCAGGTCTTATGAACCTGCAACCAGGGAGTGGGGGGGGGGGGATCAATTTGTCAACACAGGTATATAATAAACAATAAAAATTCACTTCTCTTGTAGTATCAGAGAGTGGGAATGTTTTATAAAAGATTAGTTTTAAGTTATATTTTTGGAATTTTCAATTGTTATATAATATATATATATATATATATATATATATATATATATATATATATATATATATATATATATATATATATATATATATATTTATTTATTTATTTATTTATTTATATTTATGAAATGAAAAAGTTGAAGAACCCTTGGGATACGGTATGGTGGGAGGCTCCCGTCCCAAAGCACCTATGGATGAGCAGGTGCAATGGCAGCAATGCTGAGGTTTGAATTTGGTATTGTGTTGACTTTTTTTGAGTGGGTACTGTACATTTTTATCTCACCTTGACAAAGTCATGATGAGCTTATGCTATACCCCCGGCGTCCACGTCCTAGTTAAAGTTTTTGGAGCAGGTCCATTCCCAAGGAACTATAAGGCCTACCAGAACCAAATTTGCATGGATGATACATCTAAGGATGCACACTACCTGGCTTGCTTCGGATACTGGATCTGACCTACATTTTCCATGATGAATGAGCAGGTTAATATTTTTGGAGCAGGTCCATTCCTAAGTAACTAACTAAGTCCTACCAGAACCAAATTTGTATGGATGATGCATCTAGGGATGAACACTGCCAGACTTGCTTTGGATGCTGGATCTGACCTACATTTTCCAGAGGAGTGAGAAAGTTTAAGTTTTAGGAGCAGGTCCATCCTCAAGTAACCATAAACTCTACCTGGACCAAACTTGCAATGGTGATGCATCTATAGGGATAAGCCATTTGCATTACTAATTGATAACATTCATCGAGGTGAGCTTCGTAATCTTTGATTACCTATGTTAATGATTGGTAAACTACCAGTTTATACGTTGACATATGTCATCCTAGTATATGACTGTGAAGGGTGTGGGAGTGACTGACACGGTATTTTAAGACCCGAACTTTTTAATGGATGTGATTCTGTCATGCATATTTTGATGTAAATATCGTGTCAAAATCAAGAGGAACATGTGCTCACAATTGAAGAAAATAAAAAAGAAATACTGCGCTGTGCACGTGTATACATGTAGTTTTAGTTTCGGTGGCGGATACAGGATTTTTTTTCATGCGGGGAAAGGGGGGGGGGGAGTTGGAATTTTTTCTTTTGACAATCAAGAAAAATAAAAATAAATAAATAGACAACTTGCCCAAACCTGAAAAAAACCTATTTCGTAAGTCAGAAAGGGGGTTGGTGTGTGTGTGTGTGGGGGGGGGGGGGGTGGTAGACGAAGACACTTTCCCAAGAAAGTGAGAAGAGAGTCCGTGTTTCCTAGTGGAGGGGGTGGGGTCCAAGGTCATTTTTTTCTTTACTTTTACTTAAAAATTTCCTAACTTTAAAAATTCCGGTGGAGGGGGGGATGGATGTCCAAACCACTCTACCCTCTAGATCTGACCCTGTTACAATTCAGTATAGATGGTTGATCTCCCTTCAGGACAACGACAAAATTAAAAACAGTTAATTAATAACTGAGAACATGATGAGTGGGAAATTCCATATAAATTATAATGTTGTATTTTTTTTTTTAAAATCCGATGAGTCCGGAGTTATTATTATTTTTTAAAAAAGTTTATTTCAAGTTGGGTTTTTTTTTTTCTTTTAAGTATCCTAGTATCCTAAAAATAATCAAAACCTTTCTTTTTATCAATTTAGAAGAAAAACACAGATCCGAAAAAAAAAATGTTTTTTAAAGTTATTTCATGAAATAAACGATTGGACCGGCTTCATTTTCATTTGCTTAATTATTTCCTATGATAAAACACGCATTATCGTTTGGGATTTTTTTTTATATATATATAACTGACTGCATTTTATACAAATCTCCATCTCTGACACATAACTTTAACAGAATGTGAAATTATGTTAATAAATAAAATTTATAAGAATGACGCATCGATCCAAATAGATTTAAAAGCTGTACGATCTTATGTTTTTATTTTAAGCCAGGCTAATATCGCTCGTAGAGCAATACAATACTTTACAATCGGTTCATGCTTTTACATGTAAAACTACTCACTCTCAACCCGAATTTTTGATTTATTTTCATGAATATCTATTTATAGTCTGTCCCACGGTGCCAAGGACCTCACTTTTTATAAAACCAATCACTCCGCAGACGCTAAAACGGAGAAAAAAACGTGAGAGTGACCATACTTGTTGAAGTGTTTAATAAATTACTAGTAAAGCCCCCCCCCCCTTCCTTAAAATTCAGACCTTATCAATCACTTTAACCCAATCCTCCTTTTTCCCATTTTTTCTGAAAGAATTATTTTCCCGGAATCAATTGTAGTGTACGTTCGTGGTTTTCAACTTTACCGTATTGAATTCGCGGGAAACGGAGAAACCTCATACCCCGACTGCCGGGTGACTAGATCAAGACTATAATCACATTTGAACTTCATTTAACAGATAAATATGGGGGTGAGATCCTTACTTACAGTATGACAGTGTTTTTAAAGTATATTTTAATTTGATTGATAACTTTATTTCCTTATGTAATGTTTGTTTACGTTTTTAGCGGAAATCAACAAAAGGGAAAGAAAGGAAAAAGAAACGAAAGGAGGTGAGGTGACAAAGTGAGACAAATCTCTGAGATTAAAACTCATCAAATTCATTTTCTAACTTCAAATTTATGTTTCCTCTAAGTACAAAATCATAAGTATATTATCCAAGTAGTAAATTACTTGCATGCGGGTTGTACATGTATGTTCGTTCGCCCTAAAATTTGTTCGCCCTTAACGCCGTTCGCCCAGAGTCCGATCGCCCTAAAACTTGTTCGCACAGGGTCCGTTCGCCTTATTATATTGCAGAAAGTTGAATAATGAACCAATGGATTTTTTTAAATAAATCATATGTACATTGGTACATAAATGATAAATTGCACATGAAGACAACAGAAGTTAGTTAGAATAATCTAACTGTGTCTCGGGACAAGCCCTCACCACAGTTAGAATTCGTCCCATATACTTGCAATGTAGCAAATTGGAGTGGATCCACTCTGAAATGATTTTGAAGAATACAAAAGGAGTTGCACTGAAAATAACTACCAAATTAATCATAACAAACCTTTTTGAGATTGTATATGCCTTTTAACCTAAAAAATAATCCATATAAATATGAAAATTCAATTCATTTTCTCAACGTTTTTTCCTCGCTTCACATTTAATGCCATGTTGACATTTGGAACTCTCTGGATTGTTCATAGCAAATGCACAGAGTTCGATTTATCGCCGTGTTTATTTTGCAACATTGCCAATACACGGAACGGATTCTATCGTTAAACGGGGTCCGTAGGACAATATCATTTTAACGATAGAACGTTCTATCTAAACAGACGTATGCATGAGGTTACATTGTAAATACCTGTCTTATCACTGCATGATCAAAGACCCGACAGACCAACAGAAAATTAACGTCTCAGTCCTTTAATTGTTTTCAAAACATAACGCATATTGTATGATCCCCTAAATTACAGTGACATTTTTAAGTATAATTAAACCAATTAAGCATGTAAAGCACATAAATATCAAATTTGAAGTATTTAATTAAGATTACGGTAAATAAAAAAAATACTGTAGCAAGATTTGAAAAAAAACACCAAGTCATAAAATATTGAATAAAATTAATAATAAATGTTGATATTTACTATATACTGTATATATAATAGGGCGAACGAGATATAGGACGAACAAGAATAATGGCGAATGGACCCTGTGCGAATGGACTCATGTGAACAGGTAGATAGGGCGAACGAACCTGATACCTTGCATGAGACTCTGAGAACATTTTTGGAACATACTTTCCATTCGTTCATAATAGATATGGCAAGAAATGAGTACAAGTCTCAAATTAAATTATTTCTTGTCATATATGGTTTTATATACCACGTGTGTACAACTGTACATTTTATTCTGATTACAAGGTAATGAATACTATTTCAGGAAAATGCCAAGTACGATGCATCCCTGGCGAAAGTGGAAGCTGCGAACAAGGTGTGTACAAGTCATGGAAGTGTTTGTCTATATGCAAATTAAAAAACGCACTAAACATGCTTTTTGACAGGGACATGATTCCACAGAATCTGTTAATTTCTGTTGATCAGTGGGTAGAAAATTCCACAGATTTCTTGCTTCTATATGCGTTAGTGTACTTTAACAGGTTGGGACTAATTGCCCAAATGGGATATAGCAGCCCATTTAGGATATATAATAATACCCTGTTTAGGAGATTGATCCTTCAGAAGATCCTTAACTTCATGAAGATCAATCTCACAAACTCTAGGATTATAGAAAAACTTGCATGCTAAAAGTTATAGTACTCAGTTTATAATTTTGTGGATTTACAATATTTAAAGAAATTTTTTTTTCTTCAATTTTTGCACTGTAAATTTATATCCCAATTAGGATATTATATCCCAAACGGTTTGGCGATTTTCCAAACCTGTTAAAGTATCCTTAACCAGATTTCATAAAATATAAATATATAGTATAAATTAATATCATACGAAAAAGTTACTTCTACAGGACATTGAAATACAGTAATAATTCGTGTTGTTACCTGTAGTGCTGAGTATCACGATTGATATACTGCGATGCATATTGTAAAAAATCATGATTCACCAGCAATATTGGTACAGTGATGAACAATGCTACCATGGTTGATATTATATAAATGGTGCCTGTTTTGGAGGGTAACAGTTGAAATTGACACCCCAAGGAAAACCATTGTCAACCGATGCGTCAGCGGAGGTTGTCAGTGGTTTTCCGAGGGGTGTCGATTTCAACTGTTACCCTCCAAAACAGGCACCATTTATTTTATTATACTGAATGTCTTATTGATTTAGGATGTCAACAACAAAAAATTGTCAATCATTTCTACATTCACGTTTACAAAGCTCTCAAACTCCCCGCTTCTATTTTTCTCAGTAAGAAAGCTTCGAAAAAAATTTACCGACCTCTTTATTGTTTGTTAGATACTCAAAATGTCCTTTATCATCTAAAGTTTCATTTTTTCTGCACTTGCAAGCATGTTTCGTCTGTTGTTTGTTTTCAATTAAGCTACATCAGACGCAAGCTTTATTGACGTTTTTTCGGCTTCTATCAAACGCACAACTGACGTTGTGAGAATTCTACGGTGAACCGTACCCGCATTATTTGCATGCATGTGACATTTTCGTAATGTTACCCGTTGCCAAGTGTGTTGCTAACGCTGAGGGTAACATTACGGATTGTTAAATGCGTCTTAACCAATCATATTTTAGTATTTAACATGAAAGTATAATACTATATAAATAGTTAAAACCATTGTCAACCTCCGCTAACACTTTGGTTGACAGTAGTTTTTTTTGGGGTGTCAATTTCAAATGTTACCCTCCAAAACAGGCACCATTTATACAATGGGTCACCTTGAGGTCTCTGTGGTATTGCATATTTATCATTTGTTATAATAATGTCTCTGGAGAGGCTATTACTGTTAAGGTTTACAGCTACAATCATGATATTGTAGCAAAGCAGAACAAATCTGCTCAAGTTCAATGGCATGTAATAGAAACTAAGTTGCAATTTAGGAAACTAAAAATTCTAAAAGCCTGATAATTTTGACCAGTCATAAGTGCCAAATTCTCTACTCTGACTGGGCAGTTTTACTATTTCTCAACATAATATTATGATTAAAATTGCAGTGGAAATTATATTTCAGATACCAGACCCCCTAGAGTTAGTGGCACCTTTCAAAAAATTCGAGAGGAATGGGTTTGTATTTATAAACTTGTATAATTTTTCACTTTGTATGGATTTGTACTGTAGATAATGATTATTGTACATTTTAATGTGGTCCAGTATTACTGTATGTATTAAATACTCCGATCATTTATGTAAAATTATTCTTGTGAAAAATGACTATACTCATAAATATGAAAATGGAAACATGGAATGCTGTGAATAAAATGTCAGTAAATTATTGACAAAGTCTAGTAAGGAACACCTTTTAACACAGACAAATTTAAGTATCTTGCACATTCATATGTAAGGTTCAGGATGCAATGAGGCAAGAAGATTATATCATGAATATATTATGACTTCGATATCTCAATCTCTCTGTTATCTTAAAACATTTTATGGTAGCCCCATCATGTTTAGGATATCAGACTTTGCCTGTACTGTGATGAGAGATTTGTCCAATCGTTTGAATTCATTGAGAGATTTCTTCTCACCTTTGATATAAAATTAATTAGAAGAGATTTTTGTACATATTACTCCTTGGCAATCATTATAAGCATATTAAATGAAGAATCCAAATACTATTAGATACAACATTCTGAAAATGAAGTTTGGCAAGAAAAGTACGCTTAATTAATACTAGCAGTACTTGGTTTATAATGGAGAGATGTCTTCTATAGTTTGAAGTTGAAAATTGAGTGCAAAAAGGTGACTGGTATGGAGAAAGAGCTGATTGACTGGGCATTTCAACTGACCAAGGCCAACATGCAGAAAATGTAAGTACTGACCGAGGCCAACTTGCAGAAAATGTATTGACCAGTGAAATGTGTATAAGTGGTTTATAAAAAAGCATAAACTGTTCTGACCCAGGTTATACCAGTATAACTTGGGAAGCTATTAAATTCCTTATAATTTAATTTCCCATCAATGAGTGTAGAAAATAAGAATTTTTTTTCTTCAAAAATGCATTTTAATAAATCTTAATTTAAAAGTAACGTCAAGTGAATTGATACTTTTTTGACGTAAGTCATTGTGACGCAGGCAACACAGGTTATACAGTATAAATTAATTTTTCTATCCAATCAAATGGGGTGTTCAGAGTTGTGGAAAACTGCCGGCAAAACTGGCAAAAAATGCCTGAGACCAGTAAAAATGCTGTCGATGTCTGTCCAAATGACCCGCCCCTTTTTCTGGTTAAAGTTTTTTGTTTTTCCATTTATCATAGGCGCACTTCCCAGCTTAATTATTGACCTTATATATATGATTGCGTCAATACTTTTTCTTTACACGAAATCGAGGCTGTAAATAAAAGCAAATCCAGCATGGTCTCGTGACCTATTAAAATCTACAACTGGGACAGAATTAGGCAGAAAACATAAAGAAACAGATAAAGACAAGCTAAATATGTAGAAATTTCAACAGAAAGAATTCAAACACAGCTGGGGAAAGCAGTAAATCAAGTACTTCCAACTGTCTCGGATTTCATTTTTCATGGATTATGTTTATATCTTTATTATCGATACACAGAATTTCTTCCATTTTTTAGACTCCTTTTCTAGGTTAATATAATTCCCAAATGCGTAAATGTTTCAAAAAATACGTTTACTATGCTGAATTAGCATTGTCACCTGCCCAAAAAAAGTGAAATCTAATATTGTTATAAATGCAAAAAACGAAAACGGAAGACGACTTGGAAATGGAGACTGAATGTAATATCATTATTGAGTAAATATATGTGTAATAAAGTAAATAAATGTTATAGATTTTTTTAAAAGAACAAGTCTCAATAAAGCTTATCTGTGGTCCCCGGTTACTCGTCAAATTTCGAACATTTATTAAAATTTTTAAAAATTAAATTTTATTATTAACTAATGTCTTTATTATTTGAATCATCATCTAAAAATGTCAAACAATAGATATAGGCAGCATACGAAGCTGCACGTTGATGGTAGGGTCCTTTGATTTTCATGAATATCAAAAGAAATCAGCGACAGGTACACACTTCAAAGCTTTCGTAAACACCGAGGACAGGTTTGTTCAGAGTCGAGTTTGAAATATAATGTGTATATCATATGTGTAGATGTTTAGTGAAAATATCTTTGTTGAACAACCCTGTGCTCTGTGTTTTCTAATTAAAAGTATTAAGATTTTGAATCTCTTGGCTGATTTCATTTACATGCGATTAACCTCTTTATGACCTGTTTAGAATCATAGCAAGCCACGTGGATTTGTATCGTTATGGGTAAATGCCCACAGTAAACATGCTAGTTCTCAGTTGAAACGTACTCAGTTTTATATCGATCAGCAAGGACTTGCTTGGTTCATCTTGATATATAGCTTTTATTGCCAAAGTTTTGTAAATATAGAAAATTGTATTTGTAGTTCATTGTGAATCTTGAACATATAATTCGTCTTTGAAAGAAAAACATCATACCAAGATCTTCTTTTTATAGTATCTAATCTAAATGTCTCCGCCCATTTCCATGTAATAGAGAAACCGTAGTCTGATCGGGGGAAAATGTTCCAGCATTTTTTAGTGCGATAGGTGTTAAAAATAGGCTTGTACTTTTTGATATGTTTAATTATTCATTATAAATACACAATGTTTTAATTAGAAATACTTCGTTTTACACAATGAAAACAATCAAAATACCGTATGCTAATATTTAACCGGTAAACCAAGGGTGTAAAAAGGGACCACACTACTATACTTAAGTAGAATACTCCTTTGCAACTTACTATTTTGGACCGGCAAAAATCACTTCGGACCGGCTTATTTTGTCTTCTTGCCGGTCCGAATGACTGGCTATTTGAAAAAGTTTTCCACAGCTCTGTGTGTTACAACCAGAATTAAATTATTTGAATTTGATTTAATTAAAGCAATAAAATACTGAATTTAAAAAAAAAAACTATTCAAAAGATAACAATAATGAATTCAGATTTGTTTTGGGAAAATGAATAAAGCAACTCTAATTCTTACTGAACATTTAATGACATTGTGTCAGTATATGACATTTATTACCTGTTACAGGTATGAAGAGAGTGATTGGGGATGGAAAGATAAGGATAAATACACAGAAATGACAGAGGAGAAAGCCCAGTACCTGATCGCCTCCGACGTCACAACTGGTAAGCCTGTGGCCTTCACTCACTTCCGCTTCGACATGGAGTTGGATGAGGAAGTTGTGTACTGGTGAGCGTTTGATCTCATCTCATCTCGAACATTTTATCTCAGCCCTTATGATTACAGAATTTATTTTACAAGTGATACAAGGTTAAATTTTTAGACATAATACAAACTTAGGGGTCAGCTTTTTTTGTAGTTATGAAATACAGTTGGAAACAGAATGTCGCCGTAAAGGCCTGGGTAAATTTTTAATGCAGATTCTGGAGTTACTGGCTTACAAGTAAGTAGACTTGTGGTAATCAGGAGATTCTTGATGTATTCAAATTCAGTTACAGTATTTGTTAGAATGATTTTAAAATTTAGCTAATTGCAGATCTATAAATGGTTAAGGGCTATTCCAGGAAAAAATGTATGGGAGGGTTGGACGGCACTTCATATATTTTTGTATGGGTAGTGGGTCTGTAGCAATTAAAATTTGTATGGGTGGTTGTCCTCACTCGAAATATTTTTAGATTGGTGGTTGTATTTACCCTCACAAATAATCAAGTGCAAAGTTCTTCTTTCCTCTCATTTTGTATAAATCAGTAAATACCGATATTTTCGTCCTAAACAGTTGTAAAGTGTGTTTACATTGAAAGTGAAAGTAGAATCGAACAAAACGGAAACAAGGGCAGATAACTATAAAAACATGTGCAACTGAGACTGCAATGACAATGGGGGATTGGAAAACGGATTCGTTGTGGTTTGGACTACCTGGTCCAGTTTCTTTTCTCCAGTTTAATCAAACTTGATTACATAAGTAAATTAAATGATATTAGAAACAATCAAAAAGATCGTTTTATTTTAAACCGAAAGTAGAAAAAAACGTATCTGATAATGAACGTTTTAGAGCATGACTATGGAGTTTGCAAGTCAAATATTTTACTTTATACCACATACAGAGTAAAAGGAAGACGAGATAGGAGTTTGAAAACAATATGAAATATATTATGTCAAAAACATACCAGTCCTTAACCTATTAAGTGTTAACTTGTCGAACTTGTATGCACCAATGGTCTAAGTTGTTAGATGGGATTTAGAATACATTCAATACATTTTTTTTTTATTTTTAGTTGTTCATAGAATCTTACAAAACTTATGTTTCTGTTAAAATTGTTGGCATAAAACTATCTTATTTTTTTTCAAAAAGATTTAAAACATTTTTAAAGTAATGCAAAAAAGAAATTTATTTGCATAATAAAATTTTTTTCTTAGTCATAAGTTCTTTTGTAAAGCGGGCCCTGGTTGGATAGATGTCAAAACCCAACACTCATTCGAAGTCAGATAAATTACAATACCTGAAAAAAGTACATAAAATTTTACTGTATATATATATATATATATATATATATATGTGATACAATTTTTTTTTTTAAATTTAGATGGGTGGTTGTATCAAAAGCAATTTTAAATTGATGGGGGGTGGGGTAGAAGGTAATTAAAAATGTATGGGTGGTGGGGTAAAAATAAAAGTGCCTTCCAACCCCCCCATACAATTTTTCCTGGAATAGCCCTAATCAGTTTGTCTATATTAACGTTCATTACATAGCTAATAAATACTTTTTAATAGAAAAAAAACTGCTATAAATCTGGAGGAGTTAGTGTCTAATATCTTAATTTATTAATTTATTTCACCATGATTTTGTGATAAGTATACAAATACATCCCAAAACATGATGAATTCAATAGTTCGGTATGTAGCACTTAAACATAATTCTGACTGGTCAACTGCTCAATGATAAGATTTTATGTCAGATAGTAGCAGTAAGGGAAGATGTGTATTTCTACACAAAATTATCAAAGAATAACTTAGTGTTTATAAACCTCAATAAGAAAAACAAACACAGGATAAATAGTGATGTAATATTGAGCACATCCAGGACAGATGTTGATATTGCATACTTTAACTGTAGATACCAGTATTGAACAATTATCACTAAATTTGAGTTTCCAGTACAGATCAGTTAGAAAATATTTTAGTTACAGTTGAACTTGGGTGTCTCAAATGTCAATATCTGAAATACTATGGATATATCAGTGATTTGAAAGTCCCCAATCACCTTTTCTTTATGTATTTTTAACCTCAATAGATCAAAATCTTGAATACATGTATCTCGAAATTCTCCCTCGTCAAGTTTGAGTTAACAAAGTTTAACTGTATATATAATAAAGATTTATTCTAATCAGTTTTTTTTCTAAGCTCATTCTTTTTTTTTTTGTATTTTCAGGACAGAAATGACTAAAGTGATGCTGACTACATTTAAGAACAACAAAGTCTCCCAAGATTTCTTCAAGAAAACAATGAAGTAAGTGTGGGTGTTCAAGTTAAGAAATTTTGTGTCCTTAAAGTTTTAGATAAAGCAGGTTTGAATTACGCAGAGAAAACCAAACTACACTTAACGTGAACGTAGTATGTTATGACAGAGTAAAAACTGTATGTACATCTAGCTTAGAATTCACTGGTTAACTTTTGGTATCTTCTAAATATGATATGCTTTCTTTTATTAATTTTGCTCTAATTAGATTATTATTTCATTAATATTAGTTTCATTTTTACTTTTATGCTAAGTGAAAATAATGCTTGAAAGACTATGTCTATTTCTGTATTTAAATTACTTATCAACCAGACATAGCCTCATCCAATTTTGTGTTTTATTAAGGAATTACTGTGTACTTTGTTGGGTAGGCCAGGGCATTGCCCAGAGCCAGGGAATTAATGTCAGTTGGAAACTTGGGATAATTTGTGTAATGTACGAAGTGCCTAATATGCATGCCTAATAAAGAGAAATCAACACAATTTCAAAGAGTTATCAAATAGATAACAGTTGGAAAAAAATATAATCTAGTTTTTATCTTGCATGATAGTGTAATATTTCAGGTATGAAGTTGATGAGAGATCTCTAGAAGATTCATTGCCCATTATGCAAATTATCCCACGTTTCCAATTGTCATTTATGTCCCTGGCATACCCAACAGTCTAGACAGTAATTCCTTTAATATATTTACATTTATATGAAATAAAATTGTAAATACAGTAAAACACCCTTTCAACGAACATGCTTATAATGAATTGACACTTCTAGCAAGTGATTTTCATTCCCCTTGGATTTTAAACGTTGTGAAGTAAACAGTTAAACAAATTAAGTTTATATCGAAGCAAAATCGCCCGTCCTTGGCAATTCATTTTTAAGAGTAATTTACTGCATAAATAAAAAATGCTGTCTAATTGAATAGAATTGAAATACAGGAAGCATTCCCATGTTAATTTCTCTAGTTCCCGCCCAAAGAGTTATCAATGGAAAAACAGAAATGTATATATTCTAGATTTTACCTCATGGTGGTGTAATATTTCAGGTATGAAGTTGATGAGATATCTCCAGAAGATCCATTGTTTGATGACGGCTACCATTACGAAATCCTCAGCAAATCTATTAAACCTAAAGCTAAACCCGCAACCACAGACTCGGTTACCACAACAGACGCACAGCCCGTCACAGCCAGCTGATGATGGGGGTTCATATCACAGTTTGTAACAGAGGGCTGTGTAGGGGATTAAATAACAGCTTGTAACTGCTGGCTCTGGAGGGGGGGGGGGTTAGCTCACACCCAGATAATGATGGGGTGGGGTAAGGGGGATGGGTTATATCTTAGAACTATGATGCTTTGAATCATAGCTTTTAACATCAAGCTGAGAAGACTTTTATAAAGATGTGAAGAATTGGCTCCATTATGTCCACAGACTCACAGGTTGTGTGAAGAATTTACTGCATATATTGATAATATTTGAATTTATGTTTTGCATATTGATCATAAACAGTGTAGAAAATGATCATGTTTTTGATTTGTTACAATGACTGCAGTACAGATTGATTTCTTTGTAAATGAAGAATACTTTTCCTTTTGATATACATGAACTTATTTCTGATACAGTTTTCAAAAATTTTCAATGTATTGATAATTCTCCATAAATTCCTTATGTAACTGTCTTGAATGTGTTTCATAACTTAGCATGTCTTTATAATACAATCAGAGTGGATTAAAGAAAATGAACATCAATGCACATCTACATACAGTAACTGAGTGTTGATTCTAAAATTAATATTCAAGTCTTTGTGATGCATAATGGGACTTGAATAAACCACATCAAAAACATTTACATTTTTGACTGTTTATTGAAGTATATGATTTCTTATAATGTGCAGTAAGTAGTAAGCATTTCCTCTGCAAGCTAAAGTACACTGTACGTAAAAGCATTATTTTTCTGTTAGCAGAGACTGTGTTTGCTAGCAGTTGAGAAGTACAGTGTTGATAAATGTGTAGTCAATCTCTGAGAAGAATATACTGTAATGGGATGTAGACAAATGGTTTAATTTTTATTTCATTTCAAAGTTGGGGGAGCTTATGTAATTCCCTCATCTTCAGCGGCCCAGGTTGATTTTTTTTCTCAACATTTTTTCTTTCCAAGTATTTCTGTACCCTGTATTGATCATAGTTACATGGATGATGCATCTAGTATGTTTTATTCTACCAGAGCATTTTCTACTAGAATGACCAGGTTAATATTTTAAGAGTAAGATAATGTTTTTGGACCAGGTTTAACTTTTTAGAGCAGGTAGTCATTCCCAATGTAACTATGAGCCTTACGTGGACCAAATATGCATGGATGATTCGTCTTGGGATGAAAGCTACCAGAGTTACTTTGGATGCTGGATCTGGCCAACATTTTCCATGTGATTGAAAATGTTGAAGTTCAATATTATTGCTCTCACGTTCTAGATTAGTCAGATTCTATACCTCCAGCTTGAATAATCTTAGGCACTATTTCCCATACTTAAAAAAATTTTGTCATTTAATTTAAAAATAGAACTAAAACTTGTTGAAAGTTGTGTTGGGTTTATCTGTATCACTCCCAAAAGTGGTACTTTAAGCAAAAATTTTTTGTCGATTTGATTCGGAAATTTTTTCATTTTTATATTACAAACTTCTACTTGTTAGCTCTTCTGAGCCAAAGGCCATTTATGCATAAACTTTTTGGAATGTGGGCCATATCTCAAGAACCCCTCAGCCATATCTTTGTCAAATTTGTCACAGGGTATCTTTGGCCCAAGGGCTTTCATTAATACTAAAATAGGGATGCTACCCTTAAACAAGGGGAGATAATTAGGGAAATAAAAACAAAAGTAGTGTTTGCTAAAAAATCTTTTTCTCAAGAACCACTTAGCAGATTATCACCAAACTTACACATAAGGATGAAGATGTGTTGTAAATTGAAAATTGTTCAAGGCATCACATGATATTTTGTCAAACTTTGGTATTTTGCCCACTATAAGGACTAGGATCATCAAATTTTGTCGATGCATCTTAGGACCTTGGGATATGTTGACCAAAGAGTAGGTCATGGAAACCTACTTTTTGAATTTTGCAGGTATTCATTTTAAAATCGATTTTGATGCATATCTTGAAAACTTTGAAGCCCATGATCATCAAACTTGTCAGTTGATGTATCATGGGGTAGTGAAGTATGTCAACCAAAAAGTAGGTTACTGTGACTTACTTTCTGAATTATAAGGCTAATTATTTAAAAAAAAACATTTTAATTCATTATTTTGATACTTGGATAGTTAGAATCATCAAATCTTTGGAGTTGTTACATTTTTGGCCTTGCAATATATTTTTGAAGAAGTAGGTCACCATGGCCTACTTTCTGAATTATATGGCTAATCATTTTAAAAGCATTTTTGTTCACTATTTCCGATACTGAGAGGTTTAAAATCATCAAACCTTGTAAGTATTTGCATTTTGGGGTTTGCAACATATTTCTGGAAAAGTAGGTCACAGTGACCTATTATAAAATTCTGCAGGTATACACTTTCAATTTTAGATGCATATTTTGGACAATTGGAAACCTAGGATCATCAAACTTTGTCAGCTGGTGCATCCTAAGGCTCTGGAGTGTATCAACTATGAAGTAGGACACAGTGACCTACTTTTGGGATATCAAGGCTTTATTTGAATATCTCAGATGCTGTGTGTGTACATAAATTGGCATATTCAAAATTTAGCGCAATCACTGGGTATGGAGTTGTTGGCGAAATCATGAATTAGCGCTATACATGTCCGTGCTGTATATTGTATTTATAAATGATTTCTTAGCGGCATTCATGAATTAGCGCATCGTTGTCTGCTCCAAAGCCGCTTAAATATGAAGCCCGCTTTTTTAAGTCAAGCTTTTGTGAATTCATGCATCTTGGGTCCCCAGAATGTGTCAACCAAAAGAAAGGCCACATCGACTATTTTTATACCCCCCGCAAACGAAGTTTAGGGGGGGTATATTGGAATCAGCATGTCCGTCCGTCTGTCTGTAGACGAGATTTTGTCCGGACCATTTCTTGGAAACTGTTGGAAGGATTTGTCTGAAAATTTGTACACTTATTATTCACCATATGAAGGTGTGCACCTGGTATTTTCATTATGATTGGATAATTATTTTGCATTTTACAGGTGTTTTTTTCATTTTTATTATGTGGTTTTGTCTGGATCTGTTCCCAGAGACTATTGCATAGATTTGTATGAAAATTTGTACACTTATTATTTACCATATGAAGATGTGCGCCTGGTATTTTCAACATTATTTGATAATTTTTCTGCATTTTACAGGTGTTTTTTTTTTAATTTAATTTATTGACTTAGTCATTTTGGGTTCATGTCTAAGGTTTGAGACATAGAATCTAGAACATCTGTACAAAAATGTGAACTACAGCTTAAAACTACTCATTAGAACTAAAAAAAACCCCACAAAGTATTAAAAACAGTTTTTACATTACACAGCAGATAGTGTAAATCCATTTGTCCCTTGGGAGTAATAAGTGGACATGCATCCAGTTAAAGGTTAAAGATTAATTAATGAGTTCAGTGTGGGAAGCTGTTAGGGCATCTCTGATCAAGCAGGTCTTATCTATATCTCAGGGGAATTGGGCAGAAAGAAATAAAGATCTCTGTTGTCTAAGTCTCTTAATTGTAATTTATGTCTGTCAAAATACATAGTTACTAAAACCAGCCTTTTATTTTTAAAATGAGTTTGATATAAAGGTATTAAAATCAATTTGATTTTCTATAATTAATTATGATATTCTTTTTTTCAACAATCAATTTGCAGAGTGTCATGTCTCACAAAGATGGCAGATAGTTGCAAACTATTTTTTCAATGTAATAAAAAACACTGTAATTATTAGTGTTTATGTTTTATTAGGCTGCACCTTAGTTTCATTCATTAAATAAAGTGCCCCACCACAGCATGATACTCCCATCAAATATTGTTAAATTATCATAAACAGTTTAGATTCAATTGTTTGAATGATATCTTAGCGAGACAAGGCAGTCTGCAATTTGTTGTAAAGATATAAAAATTCAAATAAAAAATGTACAATAAATAATTAGTTTAAGTTATATTATACAGTATCATATAACTTTTAATTATTATATACAATATCAAATTAGTTTTAATTACATCAAATTTATCTTGAAAGTAAGACTAGACAACAAGAACAATTCAATACAACACAAGCAATTAATTAAGAGACTGATTCCTTTTGCCCAATTCCCAAGAGATGTAGATAACACCTGCTTGATCAGAGATGCTCTATCAGTTATCTCCTCACACTAAACTCATTAATTTCTCTCTAATTTGACATGCAATTTTCTGCTATCAAAATTTTCCTTGACCAGTGCCTGATCATTACACCCATGGGAGAGGTGGAATTTTTGTTGTTACAGATTGCTGTAAAGAACATAATGAAAAAAATAAGACTAGTATTTTCTTGATTTAACACTTTTTTAATAAAGATACTGCAATACTCTGACATCTTTTGGGACTGTGTCATTTAAAAGTTAAAAGACATAGTTTTTTGATTCTAAGTCTAATGGTTTTCTAGTTATGATTTTTCCATATCTGGCCATAGCGTCTTTATTAAAGGTCAGAGCAACCTGGTTTTAATGTGCGACACACCTTCTACCCTAGATGTATCAGCTGACAAAGATTGATAATTCTAGGCCTAATAGTATTAAAGTTATGAGCCGGACATGAAAAAGCTAACGGACGGACAAACATGAACGCTATAACATAATACGTCCCGTCGTAAGACGGACGTATAAAAATATATAATGAGTAATTAAATTTTCACTGTAAATGTTTAAGGAAATTGTGAACACCTCTCACATCTAGAAAACATTGGTGATTTGGTACTTTCTCTGAAAAACCCAGCGGGGGGTATTTGTCCCTTTTGGACAGTTATAGTTGGAATTTCAAGGCTCTATCTGAATATTTCGAATAATGAGATACTAGGCATCATCAAACTGCCAGTTAATGCATCTTGGGTTCTCGGAGTGTGTCAACTGAAAAGTAGGTCAACATGACCTATTTTGGGAATTTCACACTTGTCTCAATAATTAGGATAATAAGCGGCTTAAAATCGTCCATCTCATCAGTGGATGCAACTTCGGTCAATGGACTGTTTCAAATAAAAGCAGGTCACGCAGTGACATATTTTTGAAATTTTATAGTTGTAATTCAAGATTTCGGATACTAAGAGGCTTAGAGTCATCAAATTTTGTTAGTTGACTTACTTGGGTCAAGCAAAAAGTAAGTCACCATGACCTACTGTTAGAATTTCATGGTTATATCTAAATATTTGGGATAACTTTAAGATGCTTGCATAGAATCATCAAAAGTTGTGAGAGTTGATGTATCTTGGGTCCTCGGAGTGTGTCAACCAAAAAGTAGGTCACCATGATCTACTTTCGGAATGTTAAGGTTATATCTAAATATTTCGAATGATTGATTGATTGTTTCTTGTTTAACGTCCCTCTCGAGAATTTTTCACTCGTATGGAGACGCCACCACTTGCCGGTGGAGAGCTGCAAATTTTGTCCTATACTCAGCACTTACGGCCATTGAGCAGTGAGGGATCTTTTTCGTGCCAGCACCTACTGCGACATGGGACCTCGGTTTATACGGTCTCATCCGAAGGACCGGTCTCCACGTCCCCCAGTGGGATTCGAACCCGCGACGTAAGGATCAACTCCTTACTCCGCGACTCTAGAGCAGACGCTCTAACCACTGTGCCACACGGGCGACTATTTCGAATGATAAGAGC